CAAAGAGTTGTCATGGCAATGAGTTTGGCTGATGCAAAGGTCATTGTGCAGGGTCAAAGGGCAAAATCAGTGGTCCATGTTATTCCCCAACTGCAGTGCTCCACCCCACCCATACAATTGTAAGGAATTAGAAAAAAAAAAAAAAAAAAAAAAACAGGGAAACTACCAGAAAGTGCAAAATATGAAGGCGGCTTTCAGCTCCTTCAGCATGGAGTCGAACATTCAATTTTAAGCTTTTACTATTGAATAGCCTGCACATTAAAAAAAAAAAAAAAAGTTTTCTATAGAAACCCAATTTTGTAAAGTCCAGGATACATGCAGCTGGTTTATGTTAACAAAAGACCTTGGCAGGAACATGTAACTCTATTGAATGTCATGATTGGGGTCTATCTGCCAGCAATATTGTAGAGTTGTTTCCTTAAAGATGAATACTGTCTACTGAATACGGGATAACTTTCTGCAGCCTTCATCTTTTCACACACTACATAGAAATTCTGCATCTAGGTAATGAACATGTCCTAATGTCATTCCGCTGAAGCTGTCCTTATGAAGCTACAAGTCCCAAACCCAAGATTCTGCTCCCTGAGGACACACTGTGTGAGACATAGCACTGTTTTCGCTTTCTGCCTATCCTGAATGCTCTGTGAAACTTAACCTTACATACCATCACGGAACAATCACAAAAACTTTTTGCTAAAGGCTGTATTTACTAATAAAAAGATAGTGGTGCTTCCGACATTCTGAAATGCTCTGAAAACCAACTTTTTCAATACTAAATACAACAAAATAACCTTCATAAAATATAACTTTTCTCCATTTACACTTTTTAAAAGGATTAGTGTCCTACGCTTTTCAAGCACAGGAATTTGTGAAATAACTCCTAACATGGACAGAATTTTTTTTTTTTTCCTTTTTAATACATAACTTAAGAGACTGGAGAGTTTTAACTCAAGTCCAGTCTCTAAACAAGGAATATTCTTGTTTACTTTAAAAATGGAAACAACATACAGTTCCATTATAATTGTTAAAAAGTTAGCTTTACAAACATGGGAACTTTAATTTAAAAAAAAAAAAAAAAGAAAGAAAAAGAAAAAAATCTTAACAAAACTATACAGTGTACAAATTACTGTCTACAAGGTAGGCGGTTCATTAAGAAGACCTTTCGCTCTTCTTACTGCTTGCAGCTTCACAGATTCATTCACATATATTTTTTTAATGGAGCTGCCCACCCGAACATTACCCCATAACTATATTGCTATTAAGATTTTGCCAAGTCTGTATGTACAGTCTCCTTCACTGCCTTCTTTCTTTCTTTTTTCCTTAAACAAGCCTCAAATGCTCGCATAATGCGAGGGAGACAATTCCCAGGCACTGCAAATGGTGGGCCGCAAAGCAACGAAAAAGAGGCTGAGTCTGGGACCCTGGGACCCGATATTTCAGCCACCAACCCACATGGATGCTCTTGGGTGACCTTCACCATCCTAAACTCTGCAGTTCTGGGTAAGCGAGGGGTGTGCAAGACCTGCAAATGTGGGACCCTTCATCAGAAGATACTTCCTGATAGAAGAGGAGGGGGCCGAAAAATGAAATTGAGATTATAGAGATAGAGTAGTATGTTTAATCATTTTATCTCAAGGAAAAGAGAGAAACTGACTTAAAAAAAAAAAACAAAACAAAAAAACACCCCAAAAGACACTTGAACTGGGACTTTGTATTCAAGAGGCAGGCAGGAAAACCCACAGTGCAGATTTTTTTAGTTAGAACTACTTATTCAATGGCAAAAAAAAAAAAAAAAAAAGTAAAGAGGGAGAGAAGGGAGTGAGTCTGCTCTTAAAACAACACTGTGTGTTCTGTGAGGTTGATGTGTTCACTTAATGGGTTAGAGATACGTGAAGAACTTGGCTGAGGTGATGTTTTCTCCTAGGACAAGCATCATCGAAATGACTGGATTGACGCCATTCAGCATTTGGGTGATCAAAGTGAATTGACTAATCAAATACAATTCTCTGGCCCGTAAGCATTGTTCTGATGTATTCATTATTAAATGATCAGTTGGGAGAACACAAGACAGTTCATTTTACTAGGCCATGGCCTGGGGGGAGGGACTCCTCAAGACAACCTGCCATGTGTCACTAAGTCTTCTAGTCATGAAGTCATACAATGGGATGGGGTGATGTGGGGAGGAGCAAAATAAATCCAGTCTCCATTCACCCTTCACCCCTCAGGGGAAATGAAATCCATTTAGATTTTAGGTTGTTGTAAAGTGCTGTTTCAGTGGTTCCAACTCATAGTGTAGGGTTTCTGAAGAGCACTGGTAGGTTTGAACCACTGACTTTGTGGTTAGCAGCCCAGTGTTTATCCTACAGCACCATGCCAGGATTTCATATTTTAGCTATCACCCTTTAAAACCATTCCCATCAGCACCAAACAAATTTAATTCAACTGTGGGAAAATTAATTTCTTAAAATTCCATCTTCCGTTTCTGCTCAGGTTCTCAGTTTAACAGGGCAGGTAAAATGAAAACTTATCAAACTGAACTTTGATTTTAATCATAAGTCCAAATACATTCAATAATAGCAACTTCGGTTCCATCTTCTGGATATTAAAAAAAAAAAAAGAAAAAACAATAACATTCTAAGCACACTGCTATCCATATGAAGTCGTTAAGTCATGGGTAAATCAATACACTAATGTAAGGAGAAAATAGGGAAGAAATGTCGTGGGGAAACTGTGGAGGCACTCCCTCTTGTTGGGACGACATGTTTGTAGGAGAAAGCCTTGTTGGTGTTGGCAGCCATTGAGCAGATTCTGAATCCTGGGGATACCCTGTGTGCAGACTAGAACTGCTCCACAGGGTGTGACCTTTTGAAAGCAGATTTCTAGGCCAGTCTTCTGAGGGTGGGCTTGAACCATAAACCTTTAGGCTTGTAGTCAAGCCACACACAAAAAAGGTGTTCCACTATGTGGACATCTGAACAAATACCTTTGCTAAAACGAGACAGGCTCACTCTCAGCTGTGGATCTAGAACTTTAAGGAAAAAACTACCACCATCACCACCAAGAAAAGATATGACAATGTTCTGAAGCCAAGTCTGCCTGCAAGAGAATTTGTTCTGTTTGCTTGTTCTTACGGGTTTTCTTGTTGTGGAAACCAGAAATGAGTCCAGCTTGCACCCCGGTGGGAAGTTAGCCAGGGAGATGTTGTGTCAGCTAAAGTTTGTCACAGTAGGCAGAACAGGTGCTTTGCAGCCCAGGCCCATTTCAGGGTACACTGCTTCACAGCTACACTGTAAAGTGTTAAAAATCCTCCCACCCACCCCAGAATATATATATATGTATATTTTAAAAAATCCCCTGTCCATCTCTCAGTACACAAAAGGACCTCATCACACTGCAAAAATAGCAGTACCCACTTTGGTCAATTAAAACAAACAAACAAACAAACAAACAACAACAACAAAAAAGCATACATTATTTTTTTAAAATCTGTGTACTTACCTATAATAACCAATACAGCTAAAAGCACTACCTACATAGGCAAAACTTGGTATTGCATAATTCGTATAAATTTGAAACCCCTCCCCCCCAAATATTAATTGGAAGATGAAAAACATGAAAGGTTAATAGAAAAACACCAAAATACTGAAAATATTGCTGGTCGATTACAATTTTTAAGCGGCAACTATACACAGCCAGGATATGCTTTATAAATGTGAGATAAAGGTCTAACTGTCTAAAAAATCCATGATGTCACACATGTTTCTTCGTCTGGAGTACAAAATATTTTGTCATAAAAATGGTAAAGATTTAAAATGATAATAAATGCAGCAAAACAAGTGTAGTGATGTCACTTTTTTGTTTTTTTTTTTGTGGTTTTTTTTTTTAAGTATTTTTTTGTGGTTTTTTTTTGTTTTTGTTTTTTAGATTTCAAGGCAAGGCACGTAATGTGGACATTATATCTTCGTGCAAATTAGGATTACTGGAAAGAGTATTTTTAATTAAAATTTTAAGAGACATAGAGGCAAAATGTGTCTGCCCATGCACACTACGGATCTGTCGATACAAGAAATTTGTTGAACAAGGCACCATGCAAGTAGTTAGCGCCCCTGATTACAACTTGTTTTTTCTATCCCACACCCTGGCATTCCCAGTTTGTAAACTGTAAGCTTTACCCCTGTGACATGGATCTGCCTGCCTCTTTGTCTCTATAATGCAGATTTTATACAACCTTTTGTATACCCTATGGGTTCTTGATGCAACCAGTAATTTAAAATAAATAAATTCTACCTCCAAGGAGGCTGCAGCTAAACCAACATAAGTGCTGTGTTTTCATTTAAAAAAAAAAAAAAATAATAATAATAATTTTTTTTTTTTCCTCAAGCACATGATTTGTCTTGATTTAATGCCTTTTTAATGCCCTCAAAAACTGAGGGGAAAATAAATTCGTTCAAAATTCTTTTAAATTCTTTTTTTAATCCCCTCAATTTAGAGTCCAAGGGCTGAAGGACTTATCATCATGACTCCCCTTTAGATAGAAGTTTTTTAAATTGCACTTGCCTCTGTTAAGTTTTCTTTTGTGGGGAAAATATTATATTACCTTTTTTTTTTTCTTTTCTTTTTTTTTTTTTTTACTGTTGCATGCAGAGTTAACACTTCACCTACATAGAGGCATTTCTTCCATAGAGCCTTTGTGTTCAAACTGTTTCTTCCCTATTTTTTTTCCTTTTCTTTCTTTTTTTTTTTTTTGTTGTTTTGTTTTAAAGATTTCAAACTGGGTTACACACTGGAAAAGGCTGGGTTAAGGGCCAAATTTAATAAATCTGTACTGATAACTAAAGGCTACAGAGATTTCATATCTATATCTCTCTCTATATATAGATATATAGAGAGAGATATAGATATATATACATATATATTTTGACTTTTAGAAATCAGAGTGCTTATAAAATGGCTGGCTCAAGGCCCTTGTCATCCAGCCCCTCTGATGCCGCCTCCTAGCCTTCGTTGGTGAGACAACCAGGAATAGTGATTCCATGCGTAAACAACAAGAATACTAAACCAATAAAACTAGCTTATCATGCAAATATTAAGGCATCTAGAAAGTCAGTTAAAATATATTGTCATAGAGACAGAACATCTATTTCCCAGCGGACTTCATGTAACAAAGGCTACGTTGCAGGGGCTGTGATCTACCATCAGTGAAATATCATCGACACTTTTTCTGTCATTACAGTTTCAACCTTAAGGGAATTAGTGATTGTAAGTGCTGTAGTTGCTGCTCTATTATCTTCTTTCTTCACTTTCTTTCCTCTCTCCCTTTTGATTTTTGTCTTGTTTTGTCCAGTCTTCCTCTTTTCCTTTTTTTTTTTTTTTTCCTCTTAGTTTCTTAAAGTATTGTTGTATTTCGCTTTCCTTCAGTTGCTCGTTTCGGCTTGAAGGAAAGGTTCTCCAATTATGTTCAAACCGTAATTTTGGACATTTGCCGGTAGGATGGGTGTTCTATTTGCTACTTGGAAAGGAACCAAGCTAGCCCAGGTACCAGGACTGTTGAGAGGAGGGGGCATGAGGGAGGGAGAGAAGGAAAAAAAAAAAGAAAAAAATACAATGTTAAAATCAACAACATTAGAAATAAAAATTTCATATGTATCAAATTACTGCTATAATTTATTTCCAAATTAGAGTTCAATATGAGATATATGTACTCAATTACAAATATGCTTATATACACTCCATGGTCTTTATTTTCATGAAAGTAAGTATAAAATGAAGCAGAAAACCCCAAAGTAGGGCACATTGACAATGGTAAAACTCTAACAGACTAAACATCTTCTTCCTATAATATTCGATCTACTTTCATATAAATGCAATATGACTTTTTTACTGATTTTAAAAAAATCTAAAAACTCATAATGGTACCTGTTACATAGTAACAGCTTACCAGTTATTTTTGTTTCTTTAAAAAGCTTTGTTGTTGTTAAGTGCCATCGAGTCGGTTCCGACCCATAGCGACCCTGTACAGGGTTTCCGAGGGTGTAAATCTTTACGGGAGTAGAAAGCCTCATCTTTCTCCCGCGGAGCGGCTGGTAGTTTCGAACCGCTGACCTTAAGGTTCACAGCCCAATTCGTAACCACTACGCTACCAGAGCTCCTTTAAAAAAAGCTTTAGATGGTTCCATTTTTTAGCTGTCTATGGGGTTCTGAAGGCACTGTGGACTTGGTACTAGACTGCTCATCTCTAGGACATCAGTTCAAATCCACCTGCTGCTCTCTAGAAGAAAGGTGAGCCTGTCTGTTCCCATAAACATTTCTAGTCTCAGAAACACCATCCAGGGTCATTGTGAGTTGGTACAGACTTGAAGGCAATGGGTTTTCTTTTGTTTTGTTGCGGGGGAGCATTTGGTTGAATAAAATTCAGAGTTGTCAAGAAAGAGTTCTCTCTCCCAGTAGCCAAAAATGCCCACATTTATTTCAGGAAAGCCAGTACATAAAATTTACAGGCCTAACTATCAAACCTATCTTAATCTGTGTTTTTTAGTAAAAATCCACCAAATAAAAAATGGAACAGGACTTCTTTGTTGTCCTTTACATTCTCGACAGAAAATCCCCACTTTGCCAGAAAAGTTCTAGGTGGCCCCGAGGGTTTCCAATTGTGGCTACTCGCTTCAGAGCTCCAGCGGTTTTCTTATCCTCCTCTTCATGACTTACTTTCAAATAGAATCAAAGTTTACCTTCCACTTCATGTTTTCTAACTTGGCTGACAACTTAAGTCTGGATACTTGTTCCTATTGCCATCAGTAAGGATCCTGAATCTGAGCTCCCCTGCAGCTGAAGGAACAGAGGTAGCTGACTAGAGGCTGCAAGCAGATGGCATTCCTGCCCCCACTGCAGTCAAGACAACTCGATTCCCCTTGCAGAATGTATTGGATTTGGAGATGCTAAAACTATGCTTAGAAAATACTTGCTACTAGCCTAAACCATTGTGACCCAATAGGGGTCAGATTACAACTAGATTTTCAAATGGCTGATTTTTCAGAAGTAGATTTTCAGGTCTTTCTACTGAGGCAGCTCTGTGTAGACTTGGGCAACCATCCCCTTACACCACCCAAAGACTCTGAACTACTAGCATAATCTCTCATCAAACACTTGTCCATATAAAGGAAAATAACACGACATCTCCAGATCACAAAACACCAGCACACCATACATTTTGGGGTATAGCTAATATGATGTTTCATACAGTCAAATTAGAATAAATGTCAGCTAAGCAACAGCTGCATAAATAACCATGAACCAAGAAAACACTAAATTGACTACTGAAAATTCAGTTCAATCATAGCTTGGAGACACAATCTCAATGTTTCCAATTGAATTTGGTAGCCTTTACTTTCAGAATCAGGAGGTGAGATAGACACTATTATGGTAGCTCTCACGTTAGACACGTTCATTTATTTGTAATTGAATTCCAGAGGTATAAAGCCCTTACTGACTTGAAGAAGCAATTTCAGATTAAAAAAAAAAAGACTGATACACACAGTTCATAACTTTGGTGACACCTTTGTACAATATATAACATATATTGCTATGTGCCTAGGTACATGCCTCTGGATTATATATCAACAACAACAAATTCTTAATGCTCCCTTATGCTCAATGAATTTCATGGTTAGATCATAAGCTTCAGGATACTTGAGTCCATCTCTGTTTGGCTCACAAGTGGTAGCGTAAAGAATTATGAGCTAGGCTGCTAACCACAAGGTCAGAAGTTAGAATCTACCAGTCATTCCTCGGGAGAAAGGTAAGGCTTTCTGCTCCCATAAAGATTTACAGCCTTGGAAACCCTATCCACAGTCGCTATAAGTCAGAACTAACTTGGTGAAACACAATCATGATATTTAACATTTAGCATTCTGTACAGTAACGCAAATTAAAAACAAATTTTTTTTTTTCTAAATTGAACTCAAATACATATGAAATCCTGGTGTGGCCCTATAGGATAAGAATTGAACTACTAACCATAAGGTTGGCAGTTCAAACCCACGAGTCGCTATGAGTTGGAACTGACTCAATGACACTTAACAACAACATATTTTCAAGCAGTGTTCATAATCACATATTTTCATGACTATGTTGTAATTTGGTTACTTATAAAAAGAAAATAGACATCTGTCATTTAAAAATTTGAGCTGCTTAACACTAACAAAAAATAAGTATGCAGGAATGATCACATTCAAGGCTAAAAGATCTACCTTTATTATTGGTTAGGAAATTGTATCTCTAAGAACACTTGTTACTGGACACTTTTCTAAGGGACTTAACTGTTTTCACATACTTCTCTCTTCCCACACATATCTTCAACAATTATTTCTGTGCTTTGCATCGTTTCATTGGGAACAATGTTACATAACACATTAAGGAATTTATCTTCTCCTTAACTGTGTTTCCTTTGTACTTTGTACTCAGTCTTATTACAGCATCTATTACTTCATATCCTAATTATCTCTATCTATGATTATGTTACTGATTGAAAAGCAAGCTTCATACAGACAATAACCTTGTCTTATCTATCCTTAGATGGTTTGGCTGTAGCCAATGCTAAATAATTACTACGTTAACAAACAAAACAAATTACTAAAATAGGTAACATTTAAGACATGAAATAGGAAGCATGTGAAAAACAAAAACACTCAGCAGAAGCAACAATCCTGACAGTAGAAAACCAGGTCAGCAACAAGGAAGTGGCTCTGCAAAGTTAAAATGAGTCCCAGATGAAATGGTCTTTAGAAAGTCATTTACAGACTGGAACATTTAAGAAAATAAAGCCTATTTTAAGGATAGAAAATAGGTGTAACTCTTTCAATGAAGTCCATCTACTAATGACAAAAGAATTCAGGGTTTTCTATTCTTTGCAAAATAACTTTCTTACTTAGTTCTTTAGAAAAAGGCGCATATTATTCTTTGGAAACTGCTCAATAAAAAAACTGATGCGAGTGAGCAACAGAATTCTTGCTACAGTGTGTCTAACAAATTTAATTTAGATACTAATTTAAATCTTCAAGCCTCCCATCGTAAGGTATGACCACATCAGTACTACAGTGTGCAATGTATTTGTCAATATTGTTTATAAACCTTTTGGGGAAAATAAATCTCAAATATTAACACTACACAGACCCCATATATGAGTTTTACAGGTCTCTTATTGCCAATTTGTAGGTTAAGTTCAGAACTATAAGGCATAGACTTTTGTTAGAATTCTTTGGTAGTCCCATTGGAAAAAACCTAGTAAAGCTATTTTGAATGCTATGATATCAATGTAATCAAAAATGTTTAATCAAGCAAAATTGTGTAGATAATTTAATCTCAAAAACACTCTTAGTAAAAATATAGTAGTGCTTTTTTATAGATCGCTTTTTGCTCTATCAATGGTCAGATGTATGGAGAAAACAAACACACATGTTCATATTCATCTGCATATCCAAATTAGTTATATAAAAATGCTTAGTAGTTTCAGTCCACAGAGGAATTAGAATTATATGAATGATCTAACGACCAATCCAGCAATCTGAGCCTCCATTAATAGATGAGGATATATCTGAAAGGATTTCAAAGTATTCAAGGTCAAACTAAGTTATTTGAGCAATGCATCACAGGCATGCATTTACTTTGTCGTCCTTAATTTTCCCTTGCTAAATCATCTTTTTAGGTAAACAGAAGTTAAGCATGACTGAAAACTGAAAACACATCTTGAGAAAATATACGCTGACCATTACCCATTAAAAAGAAGAACGTAAGTACTTTGTAAAAAATCATTGATGGAAACATACAACAGATTTTCATAGTAACTTACACAAAGGACAGCTCACCCTAATGTCTTCTAATCTATGTCCATAATGAGATCATAAACATAACCCAAACGAGGTAGCTCAAAACCCAAAACAGGTCAATAAAATTTATGAAAATTTAAACCTTTGATATCATAGAGTACATCCTCACTATTTTTTGACCAAATGCATGATGTAGCACCTCCATGAAAAGGAGAAAGAAATTTGTTGACCTTGATGAACATCCATGACAGGTGACAGCGTTGCCTCATTTTACCCTGAAAAGCCCACCATGAAAGCACTGTGTGTGTTTCATCTTGGGATTCCTCTTCAAGAAAAACCGACTCTATGGCTATACTATGGAAAAGAGAGTCACAAAATTATGTCCTATGAGGAACAGCTAAAAGGATATGGGGAAGACAAGACAGTTACAATGGATAGAAATGTAGACGCTGTACGCTTTTTGTGTGTGTGTGTGTGTGTGTGTGTACACTTTTTTAAAGGACAAAATTAGCACAAAGGAAAGAAACTTCCAGATTACCACCTTGAAGGGCCTACTATGACTCAGGTATCAGCCTAGGTGTTTTCTATTTACTGTAACACTTAATTCTCCTCAGGAACTCTTGAAATGACATCACTACTTCCATTTACTGAAATGGAAACCGAGGCTTACAGAGATTCATTCACCTTCCTACAGCCCCCCACTTAGACCTCTGATGACAATCA